CTGAATAAGTATAAGGCTGGGGCTGGGGCAAGGGGAGTACTGGGTAATTAGGGATGATCAAAATCAAGGAGCAAAAAGACGACAGTGGAGGGCCAGGTAGAATATATCCCACCTAACTGGAAAGTTTCTTCCTGTTAGAACTGGTTCACTCACCCCAAGGCACCAATAGCTTCAGGTATGGACTCCATCTATGTGTCCCCATGTCCACCAAACGATTTCTTCTCTCCCGTCCACCTGGCCCCTAGGGTTTGGTGTTCTATGGACTGCAAAGATGGCCGGGGTCAGGCTAGCAAGTACTCTAGTTTTGTCTTTAACCAACTGCATTCACCTGTTTCTTCCTGGGTTTTAAAGTCTAACAGAGCAAGTCCTCCATTCCTGCCCCTTTCACCCTCAAATTCTCATTGTTATACCTTCAGCAGCAAGTAGCAATTAAAAGTGGCTTAAACTAATAAGGGTTTACTTTTCATCTAGAACAAGAAGCCTGGAAACAGGTACCTAATGGCCTTGTTTTAGCAGCTCAGCACTTTCAGATCAGGTTCTCGTCAACTCTCCTCTACCAATTAGTACAAGTCTAGACATCCACAGCTACATTCAAGGCAGGAAAAGGCAGTGCTGGCCACATCTGCCCCTTTTAGCAGGAAAGCAAAACACTCCCCAGAAATCCTCAGCGATCTCCAATCACATTTCACTGGCGAGATCTTACACGACTATCTCTAACTATGTGGCAACATGGTGAAAAGAAAATTTAGCATTTCTACCCTCTGGAGTAGAAGCAAAGAATGGGAATGGGTGTTTGGTTAGGAAACCAACCGTGTTTCCACAGCATTTTTTGCCTTTTTTTTTTTCTCTGTATAACTTTTTGTTAAATTGTATAAAACATCCTGATTCTGGCAAATATGGTCAGCGAGCCACTCCATGACTAAGAACTCTAGTCCAAAGAGGTTAGTCTTTCTTCTACAGTCCAGGCAGAGAAAGACCTGGAGAGTCTGATCGTTCCCATAGTAAATCCCAGTTTGGGAGACCCCAAATCTCAACAGACTAATTGATTTTGAGCCTCCCATCTCCTGGGAAGACCACTCCCCATCACTCTCCTATACCAAACCGCCAACACTAACTTTAAGTTGAGAGAAGGAGAATTGAGAAAACAGGAAACTGACTTTGGGGAGTGTAAGAACAAACAGGAAAAGGAAATTGAAAACATTTGTTTGATACAGATCATTTGATTGTAAAAGAAAAAATAATTTTGGAACACCTGGGTGGCTCAGTCATTTAAATGTCTGACTCTTGATTTCGGCTCAGATCATGATCTCAGGGTCATGAGATCGAGCCCCAAATTCAGGCTCCATGCTGGGGATGGAGCCTGTTTAAGGTTCTCCTTCTCCCTCACCCTCTGCTCCTCCCCAACCCCTGCTCTCTCTCTCAGAAAAAAACAAAATAACAAAACAAATAAAAAAAGAATTTTTATGGGTAATAAAAATTCAACATTTAAAAATGCATATGAACCTAAAGCTGCTCTAAAAAAATAAAGTCCTTAAAAAAAAAAAAAAAAAAAGGAGGGCATAATCCTGGCTGGTTAAATAAATAAGCAGTCTTGTTCTTGTGGCGTACATAGTATTTATGAGATTTTTAATTAAATAGAAAAATGCAAATTACTACGGTTTGGGTGATGTGCTGTTTTCCAAATTAAAAACTGCATATACAAAAAAAATCCCTCAAACAGCCATAAATAATTTGGTGCGTTGGCAATAATTTACCTTTTAAGGACTTCATATGAAGTGTGAAGCAATTTCGATAAATCAAAGGAAATCATATGTCCTCTAACATAACAAATATGAAAATAAATTACATTTAATGTTTTGCATTTTTTTTTAAGATTTTATTTATTTGACAGAGAGAGAGAGAGAGGGAGCACAAGTAGGCAGAGCGGCAGGCCGAGGGAGAGGGAGAAGCAGGCTTCCCGCGGAGCAGGGAGCCCGATGCAGGGCTCGATCCCAGGACCCTGGAATCATGACCTGAGCTGAAGGCAGACGCTTAACGACTGAGCCACCCAGGCGCCCCTTGCATATACTTTCTAAAAACAATCCACCAGTAAAAAAAAATGCACATGAACAAGAAGAGTTCTTACAAGGGTCAAACAAAACCTTTCTCGTTTAATCAAATCTGTTCTCAACATAAACAAATGAGAAATCGAAATTTTAATCTGAAAAAGCAGAACCAGGGGATTTTGGAGATGAAGAGTCCCTTGGAAATCATCTGGATCTAAGCCCTCATTTTGTAGATGAGGAAACTGAGAACCAAGAGTCAAGCAAGATAGGCCACAGTCAAAGGCTGTCTATGTGATGGCAGAGGCTGGGCCTGAACCCACGATCCTGGCGTCCAGGCTCACCCATTCCACCGAGCCGCACTAGCTCCAGACTGGACTGGTCTTTTTCTTGGCAGGGTTATCTTGCAGTAATAGAAACCAAAAATGCATAACTGATCATCCCTTAGTGGGCTTGCGAACTTTTTTTTTTTCCCAGAGCATGCTGGCAGTTGGTAAAAGTAACTGTTGATCTTATTAATAGCAACCCATATTTCAAAAATACCTTCAGGAGCGAAAAAGGAAACTCCTCCTCAGGACCACACATCATCCCTGCTACAGAAAGAAGTACGTGCACTACTTGCAGAGTTACTCAGGGTATTTGGCGCTTTACAATTTTACTTATAATAAATTACCATTATGGTCAGTCGTAGACTCACACACAAAAAGCCCCCTGCTCATGTCAACCAGCACTCAGGATCGCATGCTGCAACAGCAACAGAGTTGTCGATACTCGAGGATTCCGTATGTTCTCACACGCTGACCGGGCCCTCTCCAATCTGCATTTGCTACCATCACTCCGCGGAAACGGCCTTACTAAGGTCAACAGTGAATTGCCAGCAAACGCAATGGTTATTTTTCTGTGCACATCTACCTGAACCTCTCAGCACTGCTGTCACATCTGCCCACCCTCTCTCCCATTACCTTAGCCTCGGCTCCCTCCTATCTCTTTTTCTTCCTTCTCAGAACTATATTCCTTCACCGGTGTTTGCCGGGGTTCCTCACGGCTCGGCTGTAAATGGTCTTCTTGTTTTATACGGGCCTCCTAGGCAGGCCCATCCTGATCTGTGTTTTCATCCGTATCAGTCACTCCCTGTAAACTCTCCACGTACTATCTCCATTCCAACTAAAACATTTCCTGACTTCTAGACCTGTGTATCTGATTATTTGATTAACTTTTTTTTTTTAAAGATTTTATTTATTTGACAGAGAGAGACACAGCGAGAGAGGGAACACAAGCAGGGGGAGTGGGAGAGGGAGAAGCAGGCTTCCCGCCGAGCAGGGAGCCCGATGCGGGGCTCGATCCCAGGACCCTGGAATCAGGACCTGAGCCGAAGGCAGACGCTCAACGACTGAGCCACCCAGGCGCCCTGATTAACATTTTTTAACTGGATGTCTCAAAGATGCCTCAAAATCAAGATGGCTATGTATTAACTCATCATCTTCCTCCTTCCCTTGCCACCCCTTGTCTTGTGTTTCTTAACTCACAGAATGGCACCATTCTCTCTCAGCGACACCAACCAGATCCAGGAATGAGTGTGATTCCTGACTTCACCTCCTCCGGTGCCCTCCATTTCCAATCCATCTCCAGCCGGGTTGATGCCATCTACTAAATTCGCTTGGATCTGTCCACGTCTATCATCTTGCCACCGCCACCAGCCCTCCAAGCTATCACATCTCAGTACAACGTCTCCCAGATGGGTCTCCTAGCATCCCTCCGGTTCGCCTTCATTAGTTTCAACACAAAGGGGTTGACTGCGACAACACTCAGAACACTCCCTCTTGCTCATACTAGATTCCTAACATGCCTGCAAGGTGTTCTATGGTCCGAGGCCAGCCTTCCTTTCCTCTCATGCCACACCATACCTCCCCTCCCTGAAATGTAGCCTCTCTATTCCGTCCTGTTAGCAGTTCCACTCATCATAATTCCTCCAACCAATGGGCCTTTGCATGTGCTATTCCTTTTCACCAGAATGCAATCCCCTCCCTTTACTTATCTAACGTCCATAATTCCATCAGAGCTCAGCTCAGTCATCTTTTCCTCATGGACACCTTCACTGACAGCCAATTCTGGGCCACATTCTCATTATATGCTCTAGAGAATTATGTTTTTAGCATTTATCTGAATATGTCATCATAAATACACTTTGTTTTTATTTCATTAATGTCTATCTTTTCTACTAGATAGAGGTTTAAGATCATAGGGCATACAGGGCTGTTTTGGCACAGGGCCTCGTAGAAGGTCTGGCACATATGTTCAGTAAACTTCTGCTGAGTGAATGAAATTATCATTATATTCCTGAGCTTAGCAAGTATAACCCAGTTCAAGTTTGGAAACAGAAATGCAAAACAGAATATATCTAATAAAACTGGTCTCCATTCTTTTAATCGACTTTCACCTTTGGCCATTCTGTACATTCATTCACCTAACAACTATTTACCGATGGAGTCAATGTGGAATGTCCGATGAATGCTGTTGCTTTTATTTTTCAAAGATTTTATTTATTTATTTGTCAGGGAGAGAGAGCACAAGCAGGGGGAGCAGAAGGCAGAGGGAGAAGCAGGCTCTCTGCTGAGCAGGGAGCCCGACGCGGGACTCGATCCCAGGACCCTGGGATCATGATCTGAGCCGAAGGCAGACACTTAACCAACTAAGCCACCCAGACACCCCAAAGATTTTATTTTTTTTAAGTAATCTCTACACCCAACATGGGGCTCGAACGCAGAACCCCAAGATCAAGAGTTGCATGTTCCACTGACTGAGCCAGCCAGGTGCCCCTGGGTTATTTTAAAATAACATGAGAATTTTGTTTTATTAGATTCTACACTTTTGGGAGCTGGTCAGACCAGCATTACCACTGCAAATACACACAGATGCTATCCTTCTTTCACTGGTTCCAAAAAGTTCTGACACACAACATGAAAGTAAAAATATCAGGTTCTCTTTATTTGTAACAGATAAAAACTGAAGTTCGGCCATTTAACATAGAATTAAAACCCAGCACAGTTACATCTGTAACAAAAGGACAGTGGGTGTTCATCCACGGCACTGTTTCTGGTTTGTTTCTGTGACTGGGCCTGGTCATTTCCCCGAGGGATTTCCTTTTCAGTGCGCAGATCATCTTCAGGACAAAAAACGTTGATCAGACTCCAGTTCCAGTACATATTTTATTCACTTCTATATACACATACCCTTACCCTATCTTGCTCCAGTCTTTTTATTGCATTCCTATTGACAGCAGTCATTTATTATAACCCGCCCCAACATTGATTATACCCCCCAAGTATTTATAGTTAAAAGAATTTCCACATAGCACAAATCAACTCAGCTGTCTGTGTGCAGAAGTCATATAATCCTCACTGCATAGAAATACTTTTCTCCAGCTTTGGGGAAATAATTAGATATTAAACACACACAGAGAACATTTCTTAGACAAACATAATGCCTGAGACTCATCTGGTAAGACAGATTGCTTCATAATTCTTAACACAATAAAATATATCTTTAGAAACTGAGAACCAAAGAATATTTAAAACAAAAACAGAAGATCACACATACTGGTCACCTGATAACTGACCGATAGTTTGAAATTCTGTCAAAACAGATTTTCAGTGAGGCTTTTCCTTTCAAACAGGCCAGGAAAAAAAAAAAAAACCCTAAAAGGTCTATTTTTTTATATGTGGCTCTTTGTCTTAAGAGTTGTTTTTTCATTTAAAGTTTATATGTAATATTTTTAAAAGATTTATTACAAGAGGGACTGTCTCAGTCAATTTATCGTGAGAAGTTAACAACAGCTTTTAATGCTCAACTATCAAGAAGCTGGAAGGCAGAAACACATTTTGCAAGGAAATGTGTGACACTACATTTCCTTAAGTGGAAACCCTGTATTTCCCTTGTAACCTAATTTTTAAAAATGATCCCTTTAAAAACTAATGGAACTGGGCAAATATTGACTATTTTTCTACTTCTCTTTAAAATCTTTCCTCATATTTTCACCAAGCTTCTCCTTAATGTTTGGATAGTATTTGCCCTGACTTGTTGCATGAAAATCTTCCTCAGCCACCCTAGAAAGAGAGTTCACTACAAAGCCTTTAGTGCCAAAGAAAGCTCCAGGCCTGCCTCCAATGTGGGAGGCAGGGGGTGATAGCAGGGAGGTGGTAGTAAGAAATGACCAACATGAAATGCTCGACAAGGCCAACAGAACAGGATAAGACACCTGCTCAGTTCCATGCATAGTCTCCTCTTTGGGCCATTTAAACATGCAGCTATTGTATTTTTCAATGTCACATACAGTTTCTAGAGTTCACTGAGAGCTCAGAAACAAGCGAACACCTATAGCAACCGTAGTTTTCTGGATAATGTGTAACTTCTTGTATCAATTTTCTACTGGAAATATGGTACTTTTAGATTTGGATTTTCTCTTAGGGTCTTCTCTCCTACACCTTGCTTTCTATGACTGATATTTCATTTCTGTAAGCGAAATAAGCAGGAAGTTGTACTAAACCAACTAAAAGAGAAATGCTAGATTTAAATTCTGACTTGAACGCTTTGGCTGAAATTATAAAAGAGCTCACACTGGGGGCCACCTATGAGCAAGCAGAGGAGTCCTCCCTGCCCTTCCTTAGAAGGGTATGGACACCTACAAACCACAACACATTGGTAGTACAGTGATCTGGATCCCTCTGTCACTATTATAGAACTTCAATTTCATGTATTTTATTTGGCATAATCAAGCCATCCTAGAGACTTCATATAATCAATCTTTGAAAAGAAGCAGGGAGCTGTGGTCTTAGAGGTACTCTAAAAGAGAAAGTCCTATTTATGAATAAAATGTCCTTTGTCCTACTTCTTGCAAACCATCATTCAATGGATTTTGCAATATAATTTTTTCTTCCTCTTTGAAAGTAACTTGCACACTGAATTAACACTTTTTTATCTTCTTGGGGTGGCTCTCTTTTCTCCACCAAAACCCAATTATGGACGCTGTACCAGTTTACTCTTACTTCCTTCCTGTTCACTGAGTTTCAAATGGGTATAGGCGAGAATGCCAAATAATGTGCATAACATGCCAAGACCCTGGTTAATTGACAATGGATCCTTAAATAAAACATATCCTCCAAATAAAGTAATGCAGAACTTGAAGTGTCCAAACATGTTATAGCTGAGTTTTTTGGCTAAGGAGCAACAAAACCAACGAGCTAGATTGTGATATCCACACATTCACACACACACACACACAGAGAAGGAAAAACAAGCTAGATGTTACATTCACACACACACGCACGCCCGCGAAGCCTTCCCGTGGCTGGAAGAACTGCAGGAAGCACCGATTGAGTCGCGCCCGCGCCCCCTGCCCCCCCCACCCCCGCCACCATATGAGAAACAAGAACTTTGGTCTGGGTCGATCCTAGTTTTCTCAGTAGGCTTCAGCAATAGTGACGGGAGACTACCTCAACTACCTCAACGCTCTCTCTCCAGAGAAGAGCAAAGGGGCTATGCTATAAGGTTGGAAAAGGAATTCAGAACAAGGCACAGAGAAGCTGTTTTGCCCAGCAATTTATGATTATGTTTTATAGTGCTATTTCTAATAAACTTCCCTTGGCAAATGAGGGAGATGTGTGTGGCACCAGATAGCAGACTCAAGGTAAACACATCCAGTATGCCTCAGTTTGGGAGGGAAAAGGGGCAAGGGGGGGGAGTGAGACTGAGCATCGGTGACACGCTGGGCGCCATGCTACCTGCGTGTGTCACCCCCTGTCATTAAGCATGACATTTACCCTCACTGACCGCAAGCCTCCGGCTCTGGCCTCCGCCGGCTCCTCCGGGGCAGGAGAGCGCCGGCCGCGTCACCAGGGGACCTGCGCTCGCCGGACCCACTGGACGGGGTTTCCGAGAGACAGAGGCCCGTCCCCGGGACGTTAATTCCACCCATTAGTAGACACGCTTCGTTTCCCATGGTGGGCTATCTCAAAGCACACTGGTTCTAACACTTCAGTGTTTCTTTACTCCTCAGCCTCTCTTTTAAAGTAGTTCATGCTCTGTGGAAGGTGGTTATACGAGAGGGAAGGCAAATTGAAAGAAAATTCTTCAGTGAGGTAAAAAAAAAAAAAAACATACACATTAAATTCAATGCAAAAGGAACGGTCTATACCCGGTACCTCCAATTCCCCTCTCTGCTCCAGTCAGGCTTTCCCCTCGACGCTCAGGAAGCTCTTGTCAGAACACGGGTGCCCTCCACCTTCCCGCGCCCCCTCCTCAATTCCCAGCCTTCCTAGGCGCGACCTGTCAGTGCCAATCAACACGGCCTCCCCCGGGGGGGCCTGTACGCCTTCCTTCCCCTGCCCCGGCCGCCCCTCCTCGGCCTCTGCCGCCAGCTCCCCTCAGCTCTGGAGCAGCCAACACGGACGTGACCCAGGACCCAATCTCTGGGCGGCTCTTCTTCTCCTACCTGTTTGCTCGGTGACCTGCACCAGCCTCACCGCTTTAAACAGCATCTACGCAGGACACCTGACTGTCCCTGGAAGAGCTGCGGCTGAGACCCCGACCCGGAACTCTCAGGCTTGTTCTCCCCCAACTCCCCAGCCCCAAACCTCCTCCGGGCTGTCCTATGTCAGCTGATGGCAGTGCCATCCTACCAGGCAGGCGCTCAGGCCCGAGCCACGTGAGCCAACCTGTTTCCTCTCCTATTCTCCACCTCCGCCTTGTCCGCAAAGCCCGTTGGTGCTACTTGAAAACATACCCAGGCTCCAATCCTGGTACCAAACCACCATCCTTTCTGCAGCGCACTGCACTCTTTTAGTGCAGTGCTTCTCAACCGGGCTGATTTTGTCACCAAAAAGGTCTGGACACCTTTCTGGCCGTCGTAACTGGGAAAACGGGGCGCTACTGGCATCTAGTGGGTGGAAGCCGGGATGCTGCCAAACATCCTACGGTGCGCAGGACCGGCCTCTGCAAACAAGAACTGTCCAGCCCACAAGGTCAACAGCACTGAGGCTGAAACACCCTGCTTCAGCCTACTCTCAACTCAGTAGCCCAGAGTGATCCCATTAGAACATAGGTAAAATCATATCATTTCCCCGCCCCAAGCGCCAACGGCTTCCCATCTCACTCAGGTACAAGCTCTGCTCAGCCCGGCACCCTGTTCCGCTCAGAGCCTTACTATTCTCCACCTGTCCTCTCCCTGCTGCAACCACGAGGCCTCCTGGGTGCTCATCAGGGCCTCCCTGCTGCTCCCTCTGCCGGGAACGCTCTTCATCCCGATCTGCATGGGGCGACTTCATTTCCGCCAGGTCTTCACTCAGAAGTCCCCTTCCTGACTGCCCCCTCTAAAGTTTCAACCCGGCCGCCAACATTTCAGGTCCTCTTTCCTGCTTTCCTTTTTTTCTCCTTGGCACTTCACACTATCTCACACTGTACATGTAGACTTAAATGTTTTTCTTGCTTATAGTCTCCCTCACCAGAATTGAAATCTGGGAGAGCAAGCATTTTTGCTCACTACTGTATCTCCAGGACCCAACATACGGTAGATATTCATCATGTAAGCACTTATTAAGTCAATGCATGGTTTATAGTGGGGGTTCAATAAATATCTGTTGAGCGAATGTTCTTAATCAGGGCACATCACTGGGTGCCTTGATTTGGCAGCATGGTGTACAAGGTCTGGGACTAGACCGCGTGGGTTCAAATCTGGACACCACACTTCTCAGCTATAGGACCGTAAGCGCGTTGCTTAACCTCTCTGCACCTCTGCTTCCTGCTCTGCAAAATACAGTGATAGAATTTACCTCACAGAGCTGCTTTGAGAGTTTGATGCCTGATACACCTGAGGTGTTTCTTTCCAACGTGCCTGGTGCAAAATAAACATTTATTAAGTGTTGGGGTTTTTTTAGAAAAATTATTTTTATTATAACTGTTGTTGGTATTTATTATAGTTAGCAAATAGGCTGTTTTACTTTGCTGACATCTCAGTTCTCACTCATTTAAATAAATCAGCACACTTGGATACAATGTTTCTAAACTACCTCTGATTTGGGGAAATCCTTTGCCTTTGCTTAAGAGTAGAGATGGAGTGAAACGAGAAGAGAAACAAAATGACAAGCAAAATGTTAAAAATGATTCAGACCTCTAAGGCCTGATTTCATTTCTTGATTGGAAGTGATACTGAGAAAAACAGGCACACCCATATCCAAATACGTACAAAAACATATTCAAATGTCAGATGTCAATGGTCTGAAGTTATCTTTTGTTTTTGGATTGGCTGTACCTGTACTTTATTACTATAGGGACTGCAAAGTGATTAAAAACCGTGGCATCCACTCCATTATCCACTCAACAAGTATTTATTTAATTCAACTATGTACCAGGCTTGGTGTTCTATGTTGATTTTGATAAGGGAAAAAGGTCACTTACCGCATAAGAAAATAAAAAAGTCTTCGTGAGACAGAAAACTAACCCATTTCCCTGGCTCACCTTTCTTTAAGTTTCCATACAGTCTAGTGTGGAAAGATATAGGAAAAGACTGAAAACTAGTCTAGCTACTCAGTGTAGGCCACGTAATAGTAAGTGCAAGGCTCCCAGAAGGAAATGAATGTGACAGAGTTTGGGAAAATATAAAAGACTATGCATTTGTGAGTTACTAGGAAAAGGATACGTGACTGGTGATGTGTTCCCAATGATCCAATAAATCGATAAGTTCACCATGAAAGCTATTACTCCAGAGAGCAGCACCATAAGCTACAAATAAACCCAAAGAATCATTAATGTAAAGCAGTTGTGATCATTATAGTCATCAAGTAAAAATCCATTTCATTAGGCATTTCTAAAAAGTTAAATAACCACCATTAAGAACAAGAGTTTTAAAAGAATCCATTTGAGAGACAGCAAGAATTGAGGGCAAAATAGCAGAATGAATAATATGCAGAAATATAATTTTGTCTACAAAATGCAATGGAAAATTCTCCAATAACATCCTGCCTGAACGTGAATTTCCAGGTTCATTTTTCTTATCCATCTGAAGAAAAATTATTTTGTAATTTTGTAAAATTATAAAAGTAATATATATTCCATATAGAAAAATCAGAAAATAAAGATAAGCAAAAAGAATGTAAGGACTTTTTATAATCCTAACCACCCACCACTGTTAATACCTTTGCACGTATCCTTCCAGATGTTTCTCTATTAGTTGCTCATATTTATTCTTATTTAAATTAAATCAGTGGGCATTCATTGGATATCTATAAAGCTAGGCCATAGCTTTTGAGGAACAGAATAGGGTCTTATCCTCAAAGAGCTTAGAAACCACTTGTGGACATACTAAAAATCATGATAATCATAGCTTGCACTTACACAGTACTTATTACATGACAACAACTGTCCTAAATGTTTTACATATACTAACTTGTTTAATCCTCACAAACACCCATGAGGTAGTAAACTATTATCCCTTTTTACAGACGAACAGAGAGAGGAAAAGCAACTTGCCTTAGATCACACGGTAGTAAGTGGTAAGGCTGAGATTTAAGCCCAGGGCAGCCTGGTTCTGGAGGCCGCGTGTGTAACCCTCTCTGCTACGCTACCTCTTCGCCACGTGAAACACAGTGAGCTCAGGAAATAGATAAAAAGAGTCTTGAGTGCTGCCTCATGAACAGGCAAACACACAACAGGTTTTTTATGAATCTCTAGGCAGGAGACATCATTTGGAGCTCGGGGAGGGAGTGTTTGGAACTTGAATGTACGTACAGATTAGAGAAAGAACAAGGGGTAGGATTCCAAGCAGATGGAACAGTAGGGGCCAAAGCATGGCGGCAAGAAAGCACAAGACATGTGAATGGGACATGAAGAAACCGGCCTGGCTGAGGATGGGGGACAAAAAACCTCTGTGTGCACATAGCACATCTGTCCAAACCTTTCCCACTGCTGTATTTAAAAAGTTATAAAGTCATTTTCTACTTCTAAGATAAGAGACCTTAGTTAAAATATCAGTTATGATTTGAATTATTAAGAGATTTAAGTTTTTGGTTTTTTTTTTTTAATAAGTAGGCCTTTAATTAGTAAGGAGACACTTTTGACCTATAGGAGATGCCACATTGACCTTTACATACATTTTTTTTTTTTTAAGATTTTTATTTATTTGACAGAGAGAGACTGAGCATAAGTAGAGGGAGCGGCAGAGGGAGAAGCAGGCCTCTCACGCGGAGAAATTTAAATTCAAAAGAAAATATGTCCTGGGGCTTCTGGGTGGCTCAGTCTGTTAAGCGTCTGCCTTCGGCTCAGGTCATGATCCAGGGTCCTGGGATCGAGTCCCGCATCGGGCTCCCTGCTCAGCGGGGAGCCTGCTTCTCCCTCTTCCCTGCTCATGCTTTCTCTCTCTCAAGTAAATAAATAAAATCTTTAAAAAAAAAAAGAGTAAAGAATTTTAAAGAAATAAAAATTAAAAAATAAAGAAAATATGTCCTATTTGAAGATTCATTCTGTCCCCTGAGGCTTTTATCAGCTTTTAGATCACCGAGGTCACAGGAAGACTAAAGGAGCTGGGTTTGTGTCCTATTTAGGTAAAAACAGTAATGCCTCATTCGTTTTACAACAGTGAGGTCCGTTATATTTTCAACTACGAGAACCTTGTTCATTAAAGACTTAAAAAACTGTTTCTAGAAGTATACCATTGTTAATTTTATTGAGTTGACAGAATGTTACACACGTACTTCTTGATGACTTGGCTGGTCACTGGAAACACAATTACGTGCTCTACTTTGAGGCAACAATGCCCTCTAGGGACATTAAGGAACGAAGGTGACTTGTTCTTACTCAGCCGACTCAGACTGCTATGTTCTTAGTTCCTCTGACTTTTGGGGGTTGCTTTTCTCTTCTTCGAATCTGTCAGGGGGCCTTTTGCCTAAAGCACCCTCCTGGTTTAAGGGATCTGTGCTGCAAGAGTTTGAAGACCAGGTAACCAAGATGGCTAGAGCTTTTGTAAAATCAAGAGAAAATATTACCTGAGAGACGGACGAGTGATCTCTACTGTGGAAAAAAGGTTATATGCAAAGTATCTGAATTTGAAACGACCAGCATTCTGCTCACAGGCAGTAGAGCAGAGCGCTTAAGACTATGGGTTTTGAGGGCGCCGGGGTGGCTCAGTTGGTTAAGCGACTGCCTTCGGCTCAGGTCATGATCCCGGGGTCCTGGGATCGAGCCCCACATCGGGCACCCTGCTCGGCGGGAAGCCTGCTTCTCCCTCTCCCACTCCCCCTGCTTGTGTTCCCTCTCTCGCTGTGTCTCTCTCTGCCAAATAAATAAATAAAATCTTAGGGACACCTGAGTGGCTCAGTCGTTAAGCGTCTGCCTTCGGCTCAGGTCATGATCCCAGGGTCCTGGGATCGAGCCCCGCATCGGGCTCCCTGCTCGGCGGGAAGCCTGCTTCTCCCTCTCCCACTCCCCCTGCTTGTGTTCCCTCTCTCGCTGTGTCTCTCTCTGCCAAATAAATAAATAAAATCTTAGGGACACCTGAGTGGCTCAGTCGTTAAGCGTCTGCCTTCGGCTCAGGTCATGATCCCAGGGTCCTGGGATCGAGCCCCTCATCGGGCTCCCTGCTCAGCGGGAAGCCTGCTTCTCCCTCTCCCACTCCCTCTGCTTGTGTTCCCTCTCTCACTGTGTCTCTCTCTCTGTCAAATAAATAAATAAAGTCTTAAAAAAAAAAAAAAAGAACAGATTGGAAAAGTGAGCGAGGGCCCTTGGAAGTATGTATAGCCGGGTGCTGGTGGCTCTGTCGTTGATGCACCTTAGAGGAGATTGCAATTTCCACTTCGAAAAGCTCGGCATTGTCATTGCAGTCGCTGTTTCTGTTGGACGGGGCGAGAGAAGTGCATTGCACTCCCTCTGCTGGTTCTGCAGCTGCAACAGCTCATTACCCAGACCTATGTTTACATGTAGTTCCCCACTTAAAAAAAAAAAAAAAAAAAATCGGGGCGCCTGGGTGGCTCAGTCGTTAAGCGTCTGCCTTCGGCTCAGGTCATGATCCCGGGGTCCTGGGATCGAGCCCCGCATCGGGCTCCCTGCTCCGCGGGGAGCCTGCTTCTCCCTCTCCCCCTCCCCCTGCTTGTGTTCCCTCTCTCGCTGTGTCTCTCCCTGTCAGATAAATAAATAACATCTTAAAAAAAAAAGAAAAACGCGCGTTTTGGAGCCAGCATGCTTGGACTCAGGCTCTGGGTCTGCTCACCAGCTGTGGGATCTTGAGTCAGCTACTTAACTCTGTCCCTCAGTTTCCTCATCCTATATCATAAATATAAGGATAACAATAGTATCCACCTAATAAAGTTGTTATGAGGATTAAATAAGTTAACATTTGCAAAGTGTTAGAGTAGTTCTTGGCATAGAGTAAGGGCTATGTAGGTTTGATAAATTAACCCCAGCAACAAACAAGCCTTTTCTACGGACCGTGTTCCAAAGGTTAAAGTTGCAGGAAGCAGAAATTCCTTCCCTAAGGAGGGGGATTATACTTTCTAACTTAAAATGTCCCCAAAGTACACTTCCCTTTGATCTGGCAATTCTACTCTTAGGACTCGATTCCAAAAGAAAAAAAGTACCGGTTCCTAAATACATATGTATAAGGATGTTTACTGCAACACTGTTCACAGGGGTCAAGAATTGGATCTATTATATGGACACTGAACAGAATGCTCTGAAGCATGAGATATGAAGCGAGAAAAGCAAGATGCAGAAAATTATTTGTTATGATTCCACTTTTGTCAAAGAAACAAATGTTTAATTTATGTATATACATGTGTGTGTGTATTGTTTATGTGGGTATGGATAGCCCAGAGAAATTATGGAAGAACATGCACTAGAATGTTAACATGACTTACCTCCAGGGGCAGAGACGGGGAAATGCAATGTTGAATGCGTGTGGGGAGCAGGGCTGGGGAAAAGGAATCCATGATAAAAACAGCATATATGACATGATTCCATGTGTATAAAATTACACACAGACACACACACACACACGCTTCATCTCAGTCTCTTCATCTGAAAAATAATCCTTCACTTGCCTCCCTTCAAGGGTAATTATGAAGATTAAGTGTGAGAATGGGTCTGAGATCGTGCTCGGAAAACTAAAAATCGCACTCATCGCAGAGGGATGATTCTCTTGTTTCTTAGACAGCAAAACAATTAGAACTTACCAATGCGGACACTGACCAGGGGCCAAATATTCCTCCTTCTCCAAACACTGGCTCAAAGAAGGGCACGGCGACCAGCAACATGGCGGAGGACATTGGGGCCTGGTAGTACAACAGCTGCATCGAGTTCACTTGCAATTCATGCTGTTTGGCTCCTACCCACTGAAAATCGGGAGACAAAACACGTGAGGTAGGAAAAAAATACCACCGCTTAGTAAACAAAAGATGCGACTCTAGTCACAGGGATGGGAACTTAGGGCAGGGCTGGGGGAAGAGGAAATGCCTAATTATTCTACAAGACTCCAAAGATCAATTAGAAAAAAAAGATCAATAATGTATACAAATGTCCTTTAAGCACCTTGGATGAAAGGAGCTTTACAAATTCAGTGTATGTCCATCTATTTTCTCCTCAGTATTTATAAAGAAGGAGAAAAAATATCCTCTTCCCTGCCAACCCTAGTAAATGAGCAAGTCCATGAATTCACACAGGGGCCCATGAGTTATCAGAGATCTTGGGGAAAGGAGACAAGAATGGAAATTTAGGTGATAAGCAGGAACAGAGATGCAGTGCTAGACTTCATTTCTTTCTAAAACTGCCCCCCCCCAAAGAAGTAGGGGGTGAGCGGGGCAGACTAATTAGGGATTGACAGGAACCTCAGCTACCCTGGCTGCCAGTGTGGGTGGCTAGAAAAGTATGTGAAGCCTTTTCCTTCATGTTAGAAAACCCCAATCAATGGCAGAAGGAATTTTCTTCTTTGTGGATGATTTTTCTGTGGGTAATCCAATACACTTGAAGAAATTAAATAATCGCAAATCCTTTTACATCTTTTTTTTTTTTTAAGATTTTATTTATTTATTTGAGAGAGAATGGGAGCGAGCACATGAGAGGGGGGAGGGTCAGAGGGAGAAGCAGACTCCCCGCCGAGCAGGGAGCCCGATGCGGGACTCGATCCTGGGACTCCAGGATCATGACCTGAGCCGAAGGCAGTTGCTTAACCAACTGAGCCACCCAGGCGCCCAAATAATCGCAAATCCTTTTAAAAGACTATATCATTCAGGGGTGCCAGGGTGGCTCAGTCAGTTAAGCGTCTACCTTCGGCTCAGGATGTGATCTCAGGGTCCTGGGATCAAGTCCCACATCAGGCTCCCTGCTCTGCAGTAAGCCTGCTTCTCTCTCTGCCTGCCTTCCACTCCCCCTGCTTGTGCTCTCTGTCAAATAAATAAATAAGATCTTAAAAAAAAAAAAAAAAAAAAAGGCTACATCATTCAGAGGGTGCCCGGGTGGCTCAGTCAGTTAAGTGTCCAACCCTTGATTTCGGCTCAGGTCATGATCTCAGGGGCGTGGGATAGAGCCTGAGTTGGGCTCCACACTCAGTGCAGAGCTGGCTTGTCTCTCTCTCTCTCTCGCTGCTCCTCCCCCCACTCCATGCTCTTTTTCTAAAATAAATAAAATCTTTTAAAAAGATTCAAAAAAATAAAGGACTATGTCATCCAGGAGAACCAACACCTCAAAACCTCAAATCCCATCAGTCCTCAAAATGTTTCGCAAATATGACTAAAAAGAAGGCTTTAAAGAAAGCCTGACAGGGCTGCTTGAATAAGATCTGGCATGAACAGCCAGGCTTTTGAATAACTGCTCCTACATAATTCTTTTTCCTGTAGATCTGGGTATCCTGTTCTATAAACTCGAAGGCTACAGAAATTCACCAGGACAAAAACAGAAGAGCAGGAAATTTGAAACATACTCCCGCCAGCCTTAACTGAGAGGCTTCTGTGAGTATGAAGGACAAAGAATCGATTCTCCCGTGGCCTGCTCCTGGGGGGGGCCGCAGAGTGTGGAGGCCCGGCCCTCGGTTTCTTTAGCAGCCTCCCCCGGCGGCTGCATGCCTGCCGTAGAGCTGCCTGGAACGGTGGCTCTTCTCAGGGCCTCCACTTTCCCTCTGTGCACCCTGGCTTCTGCCCGCCATCGCTCTAAATGCAACTGCTCTCCCAAAGGGCACCGTCACCTCCAAAGGTCACCCTTCTGCGCTCTGCCTGACGGGGCTCTCTGCGGGCCCAGCAAATTCTCCTGGGGGAACTTGACTTCTGGTCTGCACTGTTTCCTCACTCACGTCTTCCTTCATTTACTATTTTTAAGGTAGATGTCTGGCCTTTTTCCTTTATCTCCCTGACTGATCTCACTTACACCAGAAGACATCTCCAGCTCTGACCTCCGTTCTCAGGGCATCCTTAATCCCCAAATGTCAACAGCTTACCGGCCACCTTCACTTACCCGATCTGCAGGGACTGTTCTAAAACCAACTCAGTACTTACTTACTGTTGCTCTCATAATTAAAGACCTAATCTCCCCCAAGGATGAGAGGCCTTACTTTTCTCACTCTACATTCGGTCCCGTCCTGCTAATTCCTCCTCCAAAAGGTTTCTGGCCTCTATCACTGTCTTGCTCAGTGCCTTCCTGTCTTCCCCTGGAACCGTGGAGAGCCTCCTGACTGTTCACCCATCATGTGCCACCAGAGTTAATTTGCTGAAACACAGGGACCGATCAAGCCACTCCCCTATCTAAACCCCCTTCCTGGTGCCTGCAGATAAAGGGCACACTTGCTTAGCACGTGCCATCTGGTCTCACCCACCCATAAGCCTCAGCCTTCCACGAGGCAACTACAGTCTCACCAAATCCATCAAGTTCTCCAAAGACGCTCCATCCTGTCACACATCTTTGCAAAGAAAGACCTCTGCTGTATTTCTCTGCTAAACAAACTCCTGTGGGCCCTTCCATTTAAAGTGTCAGCTTTTCCATAAAGTCTTACCTCATCATCCCCTTGAAGAACTGCCACTTCCTCTCGGGTGTTCCTCAGAACTCTCCTCATACCCTCAGCTACGCTGCTTGTGGCTGGCTGTCTACAGCTAAGGTTCTACAGCGACTGTCTCTACAATGCTGGATTTTAGCTGCTTTTCATCTTTGTATCTTCAAGGCTGAGCATCAAGCAGAAGGAATGTCTGCTAAACGAATGAATAAGGGCATCAACTGTCTTTCCACAACTAAAGCTAATACCTGATCACTCATCCTTTAACTCCTTTTAACGCCCTAGCAGTATAAGAAGAAATAACTTAGGAATTACAGCTGGATACAATGGGAAAATACAACTTTTTTAAAAAATGAACTTTTGGGGAATACACCTAATTCCTTAACAGTACTTTTACTGTTTACTAAAAATGAAAACTCTGCCTATTAGTTTGTCCACAACCATTCCTTAGGCAATCCCATTTCAAATATGTACCTGAGGAATATAGAATCCTTTGATTCTAATCTACAGCAATTTTGAGACTTGTGGGGGAAAAAAATGGTCATATTGGCAAGGACAGTGAATAAGCGGAGTTGAAATTATGCGTAAGGAATACAAGAAATTCTGATGCTTAATAAACAGTTAATCCCTCCTGGGCCAAAAAAAAAAAAAAAAAGAAAGGTCTGTTTAACAAAAAAAGACAAATAGGAATGTTCACTTACTGTATCTAGTAACAAAATTTAAACTCACTGAAGTACATCTAAGTACAATCTTCTTAAAGCACAAGGCTGAGCTTGCTCTCATTCCTCTCTGTAGTGAAAGACAGAATATCTTAGAGCCAAATGACAGCACTGAGTGGGTGCTCCGTCCTTTCATGACACTGGTCTCTTATTTACACTGCTTCTTCCCACTTAAAAATGTACTCAGCCCCACAATGTTTATATAACAATGTTTCTGAAATGATCAGTACTAGAAAGTTTCAGATGTAAGGCTGTATTCTTAAAGTTGTAGCATGCAGAACAAGAATGCCTTAGTTTATAACCAGCAGATATTTGTGAAAAGAGAATATTGGTTACACATTGCGGCTCTGACTCCCCATGCAGGCACACCCAGAATTTCCAGTCCAAGGTTTTCAGTATAGAGAAAATACTGTTTCACTGCACCCTACACCAAGTTATTTTTCCCCCCATGTAAGAAACAAAAAACCATACTTGTTGAGATTTTATGGTAATGAAGTAAGTGGATCCATGCACAAATTTTTAATGAGTGCCTGCTGTAGGCAAAGTACCGTGCTACGACAGTACCAGAAGTGAAATATCCATTGCTAGAAAATACGGATGCAGGCAAATCACTGGAAGCTGACATACAAGTTGTAACAGCAGCAGATTTTTTGAGGCAAAGATTTATAAATCTGAAGTTTTCCTTTCCTGTTCCAATTTTGGAAAGGTAATCGTTCCTTCACAGTAATCTTGTCATTAAAGAGTAAGTCATAAATTTAACCAAAGCTCTCAGTTTCAAGTACGAAGTCTTACTACTCATTTTGTTAAGATTTCCCAGGTAATGCTATAGCATCCCCCCAAAATCAAATTGTTAAGCATGGGGATTATACACTTACAACAGGTAGGGAGGTATTTGGTGAGCATCATACACCCAAGTTTCTCTGTCTCCTTTCTTCTCTTCACCTTGAGTCAGACAATTTATGCAATTATGCTTTCTTCCCAACAGCCTATTGTCTCTATACTGTATTTTCTAAACCTTGGGATACAGCTTCAAAATTTATGAAATCTGCTAAAAAGGCACATAAAGAAAAAAAAATTACCAACCACTTGATAAAGGGATGTAACTAAAACACCAAGAGCGGCAAACACCATTCCAAGGAAATTAAACTTCACATCGTAATAAGAATTTAGGATTACACCTAAAGTTATAGGAATCTGTAAAGAAAAAGAGGCAAATGTTGTTTAGATTAAATTCATGAGACATAAACTTAGTATTCCTTTCATGTTGTCTTACAAGGTTAATCATAAAGACATCACTGGGAAACAGTGAACCTCTATAAATGGATTTTTTTTCCATTTGATAAAACAAACCGATTTCCTCAAAGTGAAATATGTTAATTCTATATTTATATTCATATTTAATTCTACTTAAAATTCTGGGTAAAATAATGAGTCAATGCATTTAAATTTGCAACAAACACATACGACCTGCAAGCACAGAGGAGTAAATGGACCCTCCCAAACTAGTGCCTAAACAACATATAAGCATGAACGTATAACAAAAGCATTAAGAATTTAAATACTGTAAATCATTAAGTGCTAAAATTATCATCTCCTTGTATTTAAAGACACAGAAACCTCTGCAGTATGTCTCTGCAGACATATTCGGAGACATATTTTATGCTGAACCTTTAACGTTTACATGATTTGATTCCCCTGCGTCAAAGGAGGGCCGCTTTTCAGTTTGAGATTTTGCAGATATTCCGATACACTGAATTGCGTAACGCAATACAGCTTTCTTTTCTTACCAATCACAGCATTTAAGGATTTCCATCAAACAGTAGTTACTAAAACTCACACAAGCACACTCTCCTGGGCTAGGAGCCCGACAGAGTGCCAAGATGACTTTTTTCACCTCTCCCAAATAAGCCTGAGGTTCACATGGTCACAGATGACTCATTTGTGGATTTCAAGATGATGGGGAAAGAGCGTGGCGCAAGGTTAAACATTCAAATTTCCCGGGGAGAAAGACGGTCCAGGTGGTGGATTGTTAAAGGTGTGCCTTGCGAAGCTGAAGCTACTCACCAGCGTGAGCTGTATTTTGGTAGAGAAGGTTTTCTTGTAGCAGAGGGTCTGGATGACTATGATGACCGGCGTGGTCATGGCCTTGGCCAGCTGATAGGTGCCTATGGTGTTGTTCTGCAAAGAGAGATTGGTGAAGACCACGAAGCCGCAGAAGCTGAGGGCCAGGAGGAGGAGTTTGGAAGGCGGTAGACTTTTGGGGGCAAAGATGTCCAGCTTCTGGCAGATGTACAAGCCCAGCCAGGTGACCACGAAGTGCACCAGGGTCAGGCTCATGTTAGGGAAGCCGTGGTGCACATAGATCCATTTGTTGAGGAACACGATGCAGATGGACACCAGTAGGTTGAGCAGGAGCCCAGCGGCGATGCGCCCGTTGCCTCGCATTCGGTCCGCAAGCGATGCCATAACCCCCGCCAAGCCGGGGCCCTCCAGCCCCCGAGAGGGATGCCCAGCCTGCCTCCCGCTGCTCTTCCCCTCCGCCGCCGCCGCCACGTCCTCTCCGGCCTCACCGTCTGGCCCGGGAGAGGCATGCACTCTCCGCGTCCCGGGCGCGCGGCAGCCTCAGCGGCTCACACATGCTCCGCCACCGCCCATTCAGCTGGTGCCGACGCGGCAGCACGTCCCGCGCGCCCCGCCCCTCTCCGCCCGCGACCACGTGGCTCGGGGCGCCCGAGCTTCCGCCCCCGAGCTGTGGGTGGAGCAGTGTCTACCCTGCGCAGGCGCGTTGGGCTGTGCGTGAGGAAAAACTGCGTCCTCGGTCCCCCACCTCCTTGATCGCCTAACCCGGACTCTGGTGGGGTCCATCTGGGACTCCTCTCTTGACGTTGGAGATTTCCTGTGTGTCAGTTGACTCACATGCTAGACAGCTGCTCTCAGGCTGCTGGAGTGCAGACGCTATTGGCCAGTTTTATGTATGGGACAGGGGCTGAGCAAAAGTAGTCATCACTAGAGAGGGGAAAGCATTACTTCCTGAAAGCGTATTTTTAAACACTTTATTTTAAAAATCAAAATAAGCAAAATAGTATGATGAACTCTCATACTCATCATTGTTAGTACACTATTTAGATTTTCTTCTTTTTGAATCCATGTTGGGGTTTTTAATTGTTCTAGGAAAGTGTCCGTTTAACTTAGGTGTCCTAATACTTGGTTAGAGTTGTATATAGTGATCTACCATATTTTAAATTTATTTCATCTGTTGTTCTACGACTTATTGTAAAAACTATGCATTTGGGTTTTCTCTGTCCCTTGATTATTCTTGCCAGTAATTTGACTATTTTAAGCTTTTTTTTTTTTTTTTTAGATTTTATTTGTCAGAGAGAGAGAGCACGAGCAGGGGGAGCGGGAGGCAGAGGGAGAAGCAGGCTCCCCACTGAGCAGAGAGCCCATGGGGGACTGGATCCCAGGACTCTGGAATCATGACCCGAGCCTGAGCTGAAGGAATTGCTTAACCGACTGAGCCACCCACCACCTCAGTAGTTTGACTATTTTATTGGCCTTTTCAAAAATTACTTCTAGGGCACCTGGGTGGCTCAGTCGTTAAGCGTCTGCCTTCGGCTCAGGTCATGATCCCAGGGTCCTGGCATTGAGTCCCGCATCGGGCTCCCTGCCCTGCGGGGAGTCTGCTTCTCCCTGTTTCTCTGCCTACTTGTGTTCTCTCTCTGTCAAATAAATAAATAAATAAAATCTTAAAAAAAAAATTACTTCTAGTGATTTTGATTCGTTATTACTTTTTTTCTTTTCCCCCCTAATTTCTTGAATAGAATGTTCAGTTAATTTATTTAAAAATAAAAGGACTGGGGCGCCTGGATGGCTCAGTCATTAAGTGTCTGCCTTCGGCTCAGGTCATGATCCCGCGGTCCTGGGATCAAGCCCCACATCGGGCTCCTTGCTGGGGGGGAAGCCTGCTTCTCCCTCTCCCACTCCCCCTGCTTGTGTTCCTGCCCTTTTTCTCTCGCTCTCTCTCTGTCAAATAAATAAATAAAATCTTTAAATAAAAATAAAAGGACTTAGGGGCACCTGGGTGGCTCAGTGGGTTTGAGGACAACTCTTGGTTTCCACTCAGGTCATGACCTCAGGGTGGTGGGATGGAGGCCCTAGTCTGGAGCCCTGTGCTCAGCAACCCAGAGTCTGCTAGAGATTGTTTCCTTTTCCCTCTCCATCCCTCTCTACTCTTCCCCCTGCTCACTTGGACATGGGCACGCATACTCGCTCTCTAAAATAAATAAAATCTTTGAGAAAATAAAATAATAAAAAAATCAAAGGACTTAGGCTATGAGTTTCCCCCCTGAGAATAGCTTTACCCATAGTCCTCAGGACATTTTAATATTGTCCTTAATTCCTAAGTAGTTTGATTGACAGTTTTAATTTCCTCTTTGATGTAAGAATTATTCAAATATTGAGCACCTGTTTTGTGCCAGGCACTAAATTTGGCACTTGGAAGATAGTGGAGAATAAAGCCAGACCAGACCCTCCCTCTCCCTTATAACTTAGTGAGAGAAGACTGGTAGTAAACAATGATCAACTATGATAAATGAATATTTTGAAGTAATAATATGGTCCTGTGAAGGTATAAGACAATCAGATCTAAACTTGGGGAGGGGGAGGTGGTCAAGAGGTTCCCCAAGGAAATGAATCTTTAAGATAGGAGAATGAGTAGAAGTTAATTAGGCAAAGTCTAAGGTCTAGTTTTCCCAACATGGTCTTCCTGATAAGCTTTTAAACCTCCTATCATGCCACCAAATTCTACGGATTCATACCACACCATGAGCCCTTTCCACTGTTTATATTGCCATCCTCCCTTCTAGTTGGGGTCTACAGAACCCTCTAATCAACGATTTACAATGTTTACCCTCACCTGCTCCCCAATTAAGAGCCGTGGCACCCTGTCTTCATTTAGTCTACTCAATTCATTGTCTCCTTGTGGTTATAGATTTGGATTGATAATTTTAGCATGGATAATAAATAATCTTTTTATCATTCATCTATTTATCTTGCAATATTTGAAGATAGTTACGATATGAAATCTGAAATTTGGGTTAAAATATAACAGTATCTAGTGGATTTCAAATGCCTGTTGGGTTAGAGTTACTGAGTCTAACTCCATATTTGCCATTTAATCCAGGTTTCTATTGTTCTGGAAACTGCCCTTCTCCAGACTGATTTAATTGATTAAGCGGCTTTCTCTACCTCCTTAACAAAGCACAGTAGTCCTAATCTTTACTTGTCTTGAAATGTGATTTTTATCTTTATTCTCATTTACAGATGTTGAAAATAGAGGTTCATGGCTGTTACCTTGCAGCTAGAGGGATGAGAATAAGATTCCAACCCAAAATTCTCTGGCTCCTGGCCCACTTCCCCTCCTTTTTATTATGGAAAATTTCAAACTTGTGCAAAGTTAAAATACCTGTCACCTGGTTTCAACAGCTGCCATTTTCATGTGTACCTACTCCTCACCTCTCCATTTGATCTTTCAGAAGTAAATTTACTTTCACTCAAATGCAATAATCTAAACTGTACGTTTTTTGATAAATGGATGCACCTATGTAACCCACACCCATTGAGATACATTTCCATCACCTCACAAAATTCCCTAGAAAACCCCCACCGCCCCATGCCCAAGAGGAAGCCACTTTCATTTTCATTTTTCTTTCGCTATGGCTTTGACTGTTCTAGAACTTCATATAAGTGGATTGTACAGTATGTACTTCTGGTGTCTAGGTTCTTTTGTTGAGTAGAGCAGTGCTTTCCTTTTTATATTGCTGAGTAGTGTGCTTGTTTAGTCATCCTACCGATGGTAATTTGGGTCATTTCCAGTTTGGGGCTATTATAAATAATGCTGCTATGAATATATTTGCACAAGTGTTTTTGTGGAATTTATTTTCATTTCTCTTGAGTAAATATATGAGTGAAATTTCTAGGTTAAAGGGTAGGTGTTTGTAAGAAAGTCAAAATTTTTCCCAGAGTGTACCATTTTATATTCCCCCACCAATGTATATCAGTCAGTTGCTCCACAATTTGGTGTTGTCAGTCTTCTTGATTTTAGCCATTTTGATAGATATGTGGTGGTATCTCATTGTGGTTTTCATTTGCATTCCCTATTGATTTGAGTACTTTTTCATGGGCTTTCTGGTTATGCATATTCTCTTCCTTTATGAATCATCTATTCTTCTGCCCACTTTTTGCTTTATTATTGAATTGTAAGAGTTCTTTGTATATTCTGAGAGGTTTTTTTTGGTCAGATATATATATATATATTAAAGATTTTATTTATTTATCTTACAGAGAGAGAGAGAGAGAGAGCACGCACGAGAGCAGGAACACAAGCAGGGGGAGTGGGAGAGGGAGAAGCAGGCTCCCCGTGGAGGAGGGAGCCCGATGCGGGGCTCGATCCCAGGACCCCGGGATCATGACCTGAGCCGGAGGCAGACGCTTAACAACTGAGCCACCCAGACCCCTTGTCAGATATATTTTTGCAAATATTTTCTCCCAGTCTGTGTCTACCTTATTTACTTTTTTTTTTTAAGATTTTATTTATTTGACAGAGAGAGCGAGAGCAGAACACAAGCAGGGGGAGTGGGAGAGGGAGAAGCAGGCTTCCCGCTGAGCAGGGAGCCCAACGGGGTCCCTCAGTGTGTATCTCTTAAGGACACTCTCCTATCTGGCCACAATACAATTATCACAACTAAGATGATTAATTCAGTCATACCAACTAATACACAATCTATTTTTTTTGCTGAAATATTTGGTAAGAACTGTGTTAAACCTGTTTATCAATTTGGCATCTTTACTACGTTGAGTCTTCCATTTAATGAACATGGTGTGTCTCTCCCATTTATTTTGCTCTTTGGTTTATCAGTATTTTGTAGTTTTCAGCATACAAATCCTATACGTATTTTGTTTAAGATTTAGACTTTCAAGTCAGTTCATACTGCTCCACCTCATTTTTTTAATGTATAAAAATTAAAGAGGTTTTGGAAAGTAATTATTTCCTTTTTGGATCATTTTCACTAGCATAAGAACTTGAAGCGGAGTCCACTGCCTCTACACCTCTCCCCAGCTGATGCAAACAGCATATCATGATCAACTACTGCTATCTGCCTTGGGTATAAGAGGAGGATCAATATCCATCTCTGATTTAAGCCAGAATATCCGAAACTAACTAAAATCACCTATGGCATATTATACTTAAAAATACAACTTCCAGGACCCTATCCCAGGCCTCCTAGCCAGACATCTCTAGGGGTGGCATCTATAAACAAATATTTAAGAAATTCCTCCGGTGTGGGCCACAAGGGTGCTCAATCAGTTAAGCATCCAATTCTTGAATTTCAGCTCAGGTCATGATCTCAGGGTCATGAGATAGAGCCCTGCATTGGGATCCTCACAGGGTGTGGAGCCTGCTGAAGATTCTCTCTCCCCTCATCTCTCTCCCCATTCTTGCATGCAATCTCTCTCTTAAAAAAAAAAAAAGAAAAAAATTCTTGCTGATTCATGAACATGTATTACCATTTCTGGGCCTTGCTCATACTGATTTCCTAATGTGCAGTGCCTCACTCTTCTTGTGCTTTATCATTGCCCTTGCAAATTTAGTGCATGACTCCGACAGCAGTTCTTTTTT